CATTTATGAATCTGATTTTTCTATAACACAATCAAAATGATAATCGATCATAATTACTACAAAAAAATTCTTATTTTTGAAGATTTCACAATTGATTATAGTCTTGATCTAGCGAAAAATTGATCGAATTGACCTAGATAGTTATTCGTCAAAGAGTTAAATCTAAATACACATGTTATGAAATTTGTTAAAAATTTTTAGAACGATATTTTGTTTAATTTTCATTTCTTCAGTTAAAATTATGCAACTGATCTAAAGTCCTCTGTTTGTTTGGCATTGAACGGTGGTCTGAGTGTATCAGAAAATGATACTCTGAAGTTTCTATATTGAATATTGATGCCTACGGATACAATCTTAAACTCATACATAGAAATATCTTATAGGACGATCTAAATCAGTTATTTTTGTTTTTGATAAATCATAAATCAATTTGAAAACTTGCTTTCTATCTAAAGATAGTCTATACAAAGAAGTCAATTCTGTCGAATGTATCTACTGAAACTATGAAAAATATTACACTTGTTCTCTTTAATTAATGAATACATGTAATTACCTTTCAATTGTTCGAGAACAATTCGATGTCGTCGTACACGAAGTCGTGACGTTCTGTCAGACATACTCGAATAAACTTTCAATTCAGCCTTTCTATTAGGATCTTCTTGATTTGTAATTAAATAAACTTTACTGATTTCGTCAGTTCTTTCGGTCAACAGTACTGCATTATTGAAATCCCATGTAGATGGAAGTTCGATTATATTCACTGTTGAAACACGTTCGAAATTTGAATTTGATTGACTACTTAGATAATGATCGATATCATTTCCAGTTTTCCTTGCTGAAAATTGCTTTTGTAAATTATATCTTGCATTTCTTTTATGATCTGCTATACTATTAATGCTTGATATTATGGATGGAGCTCGGCTTTGAGTTTGTATGATAGGCATTGTGAATCCGATAGTCAAATTAAAGTATTCGACATTAACTTCCCACTGACACTTCATTCTATTCGGTTGATCTGATGAAAATAGTTGATTGTGCCATGCATGAATCATTTTTTTAACGTTTATTTCTGACATTTGATCGATAACATAAGCAATAATTGGCTCGTTTGGATTTGATTCATTACATAAAATAAGATTTTCTCTTATTTTTGGAAAGTTAATGGTTAAACGCTTAAAGATTTGTTCTCGTGTTGCACTGTGTGGAAAATTACCAATTCGTACACGGTAACCATCTTCGTCTAGAAGTAGAAGATTAGAAAACTAGACTATCATTCAAATTATTTTCTATGAGAAAAATAATTAATTGTAGTCATGCTTGAATAACCAACTTGTTTTTTTTTTGGTCCCAGTCCCGATAAATTCCTTCAGCACCAGCTGATAATGAAAAAAATTCCTCTCAAAAAAAGTAAACAACTGATCGGTTGAATATTAATCTGTTCACAGGCAACGCACTCACCCATTTTTGACCTTCTAATTGTTATAACTCGATAACTTAACATGACAAAAAGCTGAAATTTACACTGCAGTACAATATATAAAAGTTCTAGTTTTACTCAAATGTTTATTTGATTTTCTCGAACTGTAACGATTCTACAGTACTGGCAAAAATTATAGAACCACTTTCAAAGTTCCTCTATTTTGTGGAACTCACGTATATATTCAAAGAAAATGGTGAGTGGAAGTTTTAACTTCAAGTTTTGGCAGCTCTCTCCCCTTCTCCATTACAGACCTCAGCAAGCGCGTATAAAAGGCTTTTGATTCTATATAATATATCAATGCTTTCATAAATATTCGAACAAAAACTATTTTGTAGTTTATAAATCATGCGTCAGAATAACAAGTTTAAAGGATATACGTCAGTTTCACATTTCAGCTCCTTTGGAGCTGCGCTAACAAGCTTATTTAATCACAATGGCATCAGCCTTTCTTAAATACTATACCGTTTAAAAGAGAAGCTAGTTCTGACTGTTTATAAATAAAACATTTTCAAGAGCACTTTATAGTTGAGTTTCACAGAAAGTTTTACTTTTCAAGCAAAAATAGGTGGAAAATGACATTTTTCTGTGATATTTTGACTACATAGTTTCAAATAAGAACAATAAGAATTTTTAAACAATGGATTCGATAATAAACTATCTATATCTTCAAAATGAGATATTTCTAATCTTAGTGAATCATTGCATTAAGAAGATACGCTTGGTAGCAGAAATAGTCATCAGTTTCGGTAACAAGCAGAAAAATGAGTTTTTAGACATTCCTCTTTGAAAGATTGGCATATATTTATAACAACACGATTTAGGTCGGTTTTAGATACACATTGACTACGACTTCCATACACTTGCATATTCAGCAGGCTATTGATTATATGTTAGTTTCTTTCGAAAAAAAATGTATAATGATACACTCTAAAAAAAATAGGTATTTTTGTCAGTTTCCGAGGATATCTATTTCTTTTTAGAGTGTAGTATTTAATTAAGATTGATGCCATTGTGATTAGAAAACAGAGAAACTTTGAAAGTGGTTCTATAATTTTGACCAGATAAAAATTAGCAAATTTTTTTAATCAGTTGTTTTCTCATACCTGATATTAACGATGAAGAAAGATAAATAGATATTCGAATAGAGCACCTTTGCATTTATATATACACTAAGTTCTCTTCTTTGAAGACTCTGAAACTGTTGATATAGAACAAACTATGATATTCAACAAGGTGGTTCTATAATTTTGGTTAGTACTGTAGAGGGATAAAAGGTCATGGTAATGACACTCAAAAGGATCCCTTCCGTAGGAGCCACTTAGAAAAACTGACATTCCTAAAACTGTTCTTGATTTGAACAGCACACTATTGTCTGTCGTTGAAGCTAAAATGGCAGAACTGATGATGATGAATTGTGTTTTTTGGAGACTTGTTCTTACAAAGAGTTATCATCAAAACATTACAGTAACGTACTCATAAACTTTTATTGACCTCCATAAAAAGCCCATAACTCTAGATCAATCTTCGATAATACCACACTTATTTCCATTTTTTTAATGATAAAGTAATGTTCCAAACATGCCAACAGACCGTAAGGCCCCTATTTCATAATTTCTGCCAAAAAATGATTAATTTTGTCTGGTGATCACCATTTCATCTCGTCATTATCCAACAGAAATGACATGTATCAATAGGAAAAATACGAAAACCTATACAAAATTTTCGAATGGATAAGTTCGGTCATCTTATGTTCGAGACATCTTCTGTACAACTTTGACTATGCTGAGCCGCTCTTTAACTGGACAAGTTGATATGTATTAATGTCTGCGGCGTGGGCTCAGTCGTACGACTTACATCTCTAGTCATAGAGTAAAGAATATGATACAGTCTTAAATTCTATTTTTTGTCCCAGTCTCAGTAAAAAACAAATTTTGGTCCCGCACATGTCTTATCGTGATTCGTTATGTCGCAGACTTCATGAATTAACATCCAGCGAGAAAATGTTTGAGTGTAATGTCTCAAAACCATTTTTTCGCGATTTTGATACACTCGAACTGAAAAATCTTTTCAAGCATCAATAGTTTCACAATAAATAGAATTCTACAACATAGATTTATTTCTCACTTGATCTCGATCGACGTTCTGATTTTCTACGTCTTTGTAGATTATGTCCATACCAGCATTGTGTATTTTCACATTGTAATGGTTCAACACATCGTATATGTTTGTTCTCACAACCAATTGACTTTCTGCATATTCCTTTTTCAAAATATTCACATAATTCAAATATTTTTACTGGAAAACAAATAACTTCACAGTGAATATTGCAACCACGTAAAAAAGATCCATTTTTTTCTGTAGCTAATTTTTGTGCAAAACATTCATTATTAATCTCATTTATCCAAGCTTCAGCTTGTACACGATTATTTTCTACTAAATGTTGGTTCAATTCATTATAAGGTCGTACAAGAATATTGGTAATATCGATTTTAAAAATCATTGATAACTCTTCACTGTTTACATCTTTTGGCATATTTGTTACATGAATACAATAATTCACGACATCCGAACTAATAATTGTACCTGAATAAATATTAGAATACATAAAATTTTTTTTTACAAGAATTAATCCACAAATACGAAAAATAGAATGTATTCATTATTACGATTCACTCATAAATAATGTTAATGTTTGTCTTTAAAGCGCTAGGTGGCATCAATTTTTTGAAAAAAAGATATATGAGTCTTTTATCTGTGCTGGTTTCATTTTTATAATTATAATCAAAATTAGAACTTAATGTATTTGGAAACAAATTTTTTCGTAATTTTTGCTCAAGAACGTGGAAAAACAGGTTTTTTTCTTAATCATTTTTCTATCGAACGATCGGCCCAATGAAAAATATTTATTACAGAGAAAGGAGAAGAACGCATTCTGTAAAATTAAAAGCCCTTTTTTTTGGAAAGCATTCTTGATTGTTATCGCCTAAATTTACATTCACTAAAAAAGTTCTCAAAGAGAAGTTCATATCTAATTAGTCGAAAGATCGATTCCGATACAACTCGATGAGCTCTATCCAATGGCGTGATCCAATTTTTTGTAGCTCAAATTGTTACTTAAAAAGTTTTTTTTTTTGAAATCAGGACTATCAGTTGTGCGATGCAACTAAACGAAAGTTCCATCATTTTTGGCACCAGTTTCAACGTGTCACGCTCGACAGCTGTTATTTTTGAGTCAAAATCGACTTTAAACCGAGACGAAAGCATACATCAGTTAAAAGAATCCGTTCTCACATGTTTCTATAGAGAATGTTAAAGAAAACAGTTTCATTTTAATAGAATTCCATTTTGACCGCTTCGAAAAAGAATGAATAGAGACTTGTCCTATTAGCTTATGATAGAGTTCAGAACGCTTTCTATACAGCTAGAGAACGATTTTCGAACTGAGAAGAAAGCATTCCATACTAGTGTGGAATAGTAAAGAATGAGTTTCTTTACACTTAGAATATTTCTTTTTGTTTATGAAAACGTTGACTAAACTGTGGAAGACATTCTTCATGTAAAAGACAAGTTTCTATGTTTTCATGAACGCTTTCTTTTCCGATTTTTTTAGAAATATTTTTCACTGGATATTCAATAACCTTCGATAGAGTCCAGCAAATTCTGAATTTCTCAAATGATATAAACACAGAACTTCATGCATGCCTAAATAATAAAAGAGAGTATTTTCATAGATTTCATGTTCACGATTGAAAGACTCTAAAAACAAATATAAATGAATTTTCATTTGAAAAAGCTGCAGAATAGAAATCGTTTTGAACATAATATGCATAGCGTAGAAATTCATCTACCGATACACTTAAACGACCTATGAAAAATGGTGTAAAAATCACACTTTATTGGAGCATATATGAAGGATTTCCTTCTAGAAGTTCTCTAATGTGAAGTCAGCGTTAATGAAAAAAGCAAATACTGACAAAGAAAAAAAGAAATTTGTTTTGAAGGTATAATTGAACATGAATGCATATGATTTCACATTTATATCTTACAAGGATGAGATTAACCGTGCTTTTTTTTCCATTGAATTTTATATTTTTGATAATATACACGTCATTTAAAGTTCTATTAAGACAGTACAGAAAGTAAAGCGACATTTCTTTCTAAATATCAATTCGAATATTTAATTACTTATTTTGTTAAATAGTTGTTATCTAATTTTAACAAACAATCCAAGCAAATATATTTTGGTTGACTTTATACATGAAATACGTACATAATATTTGATTAATTTTTCATAGACGCAATCATTGAAATAGATACAACACAAAATCAATTGTAACGAGAAAAAGTACTTACGTCTTTCATTCGGAACTAGATATTTTTCGACATTGAAATGGACTCCTTTGTATCGATGTTCTTTATTTTCTAGAACGATTCGATCAACTATATCATAGCTGAAGTGTAAAAAAATTATTGTCAGCATTGAAGTATTCAACGAAAAAAAACAAAACAATAAATATTACTCATCAAATAGAAGATATAGATTATTGCCCAAGCATTCAAATTCATTTATAGAACCATATTGCTTAAAATACTTCTTGATATTAATGCGAATATCATTGTTTGAGTTCGAATCAGTCGTTGGTAATGTAACTTTCAGACCACGTGTAGTTTGATGCGATAAATATATACTTGTTGGTAATTTTCGTGATATAATTGATGAATTACTCGAAGTACTGGTATTTCGACTTTCCATAACCGTATTCACATAGTCTCCATTAGAAAATTCAACGGTTGCGCATTGTGATTTTCTACCATGAGTGACTAAATAAATTTATTTTTTTTTCAAAACGAGGTTTCTGTCGAAATTCCTTACAGAATTTTTATTCTTCTATATACTTACAGTTAGGTTCGTTTAAGCTAACACGAAATTGAATCTTATTCGTTCCTAATTTTTGTGCGATCATTTTTCTAACATCGCTTTCTTTGATTGTTTCATCAATATCATGTACCAATAGGCATCTTCGACAATATTGCAAATCCGAAGGTATAATAATTCGTCTTGAATTCTAAACGAATATATCATTATTCATATGATATATACATAACATGTATAGATACTTGAGACATATTCTTTTATGCGTTCGTTTCAAAAATTGAATGCAAACTTTATAAAAATAAAACGTAAATACTTCTTCGTTTTGTTTTAACTTCTAGACCAATAGACAGCAATCTAAAAGTGAATTTTATGTCAATTTACAGATTAATTCAACAATTTCTTCATAAGCTTCCATCCAAAAATCATTTTGTATTGCTTTTCGATAGAAATTCCCAGTAAAAAAAGAAATTTGTTAAATAAGATCAAACTAATTATTTAATGATGCCATACCATTTTATTCATTTTTAGATTCTAACAAACAAAAGTGAGAAAAAACCCAGTAGTCATACAGAAAATTTCGATGTCTTTCAACTGCGTCAACAAAATCAACATTCATAACCTCAACTACGAAAAGAATAATTTTTTTTTGAATTCATTAAGAAAAAAAGGGTGTGGGTGTGGGCGTCAATGTTACCACCGAGAAGATTCCACCATTCATACTCACACCAACATCCACACCTTCAAAGAAGGTTGAAACGTCTAAAGCTTTACAATGTGTATCACCAGTGCTATAATTCTCATGTGACTCTAATGTTCTCTTCTCGTTGCTGTGTCTGTAATGATGTGAGGAGAAGCCGGAAAGCATTGACCTTAAAATTTACACTTACTATTTTCTTTGAAAATATACGTGAGTCCAGCAAAACGCTCACACATGTACCTATCATTTGAAAAAAAAGTTGATTAAACTTGACAAACTAATCAGATATTCAAATATAATTTTGTCAGAAACTTTTAGGATATCTAATATTTGCTTTGTAAAAATGGAAAAAAATATGATCGAGCAGGAGTACACTGAATTTATCTCAGAGAGTATATTTATAGCCATGTGGATCCAAGTATTTAGTTTTTCATCAAGAGTAATAAGATGAAGTGTCTTATTTGCATGCCGCATTACTAAAATCCAAACTTTAAAAGCATTTTTTATAACTTGTTTAGATGTTGCTTTTATGCTGAGAAAATTGAACTATTTCCCATTCCAGTACCAAATTCATTTGAAACTATAAGGAAAAAGTTCTTCTCTAGTAATTTGCATTATTATACTTCATTTCTAGAGCAAAATAAATAGTATACTCAATGACAGCACAAAAACTACGTTACATCTTATATATCTGAGCAAAATGCGTTTTTTTTACGAAAAACCAGATCTGAAATATAGAATAGCTTTTTTTTGTCTTTAAAAATGCCGAGATAAACGTACTTATAGATGAGATTTTCGTAAAAAATAAATTTTGCTAGAATATATTTGATTCGATGTAGGGTTCTGCATCGAATTTGTATGATTTTGCCACTTAACGACATCAATATGGTTACTACCAAAACTCCGTGCATGTCTTTTTACCTTTTGTGTAAAATTTCAAAAGACACAAAATCCAATGTCCTGCTACTCAAAGTTACAATGATGAGTATTAGTGTATTTTATCGCCCAGAGAATGTTTTTTACATCTCATGAAAGCTTTCTCGACTGAAAGCGAGGAATAAAAAGGAAAGAAAATTTCAAAAAGTCGATAAAATGTGACAAAAGTCTTTTTTCTAATTTTTGCGGTCTAAGAATTATCGATGGCTGGCTTTGATAGTAATCTGAAAGACCTTTTCTTAAGAGTAAAAAATGAAATGGTAGTTGATTATGTCTTTTCATCAATGTTAAGATTTATTCAATGTTTCTTAAGCTATTTCCAAGTTAAGAAGTTAAGGTAACTGATTCAACCCTACCACAGAAGATGAATGATGTCAATGGTTTCACTGATTTCTATGCGCATATTTCTTACTTGCAATTCAAAAGAATCTTTATGTTGTTGCTTCGTAAGAAGAACGTGTTGTCCAAAGTGACGAGGTGTAAAAATAAAAGACAGAGTGAAAAACAATGAGAGTCGTGTTTTTTGTCCCAGTGAGAAGAAAAAAACAAGAGAGAAAAGAAAAAGGCTTACTCATATCGAATGCAAGAACTACTAAAAGAAAATGTCTCTCGGAAGTAGAATTATTTGACGACTCACTCATTGAATTTGACATCATTATTCAAGAGTGATGGCGCAATAGAATTATGATAATGGAGATTAAATTCATCAGACAACTGAAAGACTCTAGGTAATGAGGAGATTTTCTCGTAATCTTTCTGAAAAATCTCATTCATTGTTGTTATAATCAACATCTCATTCAGATGTAGTCATAAGCAATGTCTTTCTGTATCCACAGGATTATAAACAATCTACTTTCTTTCTATTACTCTGTCTTTCATGTTGTTCTATTAATTTCCATTGTCCATATGAGATACGAATATAGAAATAAAGCATAAGTGAAAATAAAATTTCACAATTTTATATTGAAAAGAAAAATTCTAATGTGTAATATTTTGTTTGTGGGGTAGGATGGATATGGGTGGGTATTTGTCTTTTGTTTATCCACACCCTAAAGTGTAAAAACATTGATAGCCATGATTATTGTTGGATGTCAATTTCCAACCACAATAAACGTACCATTGACATTCTTCAAACCAAAATGGAGTACGAAATGTGTTGAGGAGTTCGTTGACTTGCTGATCTATGACACGAACATAAGATGAATTTGCAAACATTTTAAATCGAAGCGTTTCCAATTTTGGTAAATTTTCCACAAGGATTTGTCTTCATTCGTGTCCATTCAACATATTATCCAACATTTGAATTGTTAAATGACGCAAGGAAGGCATGCATCGAAAAAGACTTCGTAATCCATGCACTTGACTATTAAATAAGAGCTTCAAGGTCGTAATTGATGTTTCGATAATTGACAACTCTTCATACTCATTCAGTAATTTTATGTACAACGAAAGAACTCTCAGACGCAGTCTATAAAGGAAAAGATAGAGCAAATCAATTATTTTTATTGGGTTCGGTACACAAAAGATCGATAAATTCTCGAGAGTAGATGAGATCGGTGTTTCTGCAGTGAAATAAACGTTAGGTTGATAACAGCTCTCGAGTTTACCATGTTTCAGGTTTGGTAGATTTCAGATTTGCGTGATCATAGATTATGCACCTGATTTATCATAAGCAATACTACAGATAGAAATGTTAAGATAAACCACATGATGAAGTTCGTCTATCCTATTCATAATATCTCTTGAATAAATACTCGTTAATGTTAATGACTTCAAATGGACGAATTGATCGATATTGAAGTCCCGAGATAAAAACAGTTGGAGTAGACCTGGTGCTTCATCTTCATCGCTAGATGACACAAAATGATACGGTCAGAAATCGAACGCAAATGGTTTTGACAGAGAGTATCAAAATCTTTTTTTCGTTATACGTCGTAAATTCAAATGAAATGACAAATGTGTGTGGCAAGAAGTCCTTTAAAACGAGCATTGAGACCAAAAAACGCTCGAAGAAGATCGACAACATCAAAATATTCGAACAAATTGAGTAGCGTTTTATTGTCTAACGCTTCGGGCTGCATTACTCGTGTTTTGTGTAAAACAAAGCACAATGCTACACTTGGTTTTTTTTTGTTTTTGGCAAGTATTTTTCAGTTGTGTTTCTTTGCTTTTTCTTTTCTATTGACACTAGGCAAATGAAAACAAACTTGATATTTTGCACGTTTTTTTTTATTCAATCTTGATTTTATTAACAAAAAAAAAGAGAATCGGAATTACAATACTAATACTAGTTTTATCTATTTTCGACTTTTTGCTTTTTGAACAATGCGTTTTGCTTGTTCCAAACTCATATCGTCCTCATCAAGTTCATAGTTCATATCTTCTCTGGTTTCCTCTTCTTCTTCTATTTCTACTGTTTTAAATTTAGATGCCACCTCGGACATGTCAGCACATTTCGAATAACATTCTTCGGCTGTCTTTGATGTTGCACCAGCTTTATTGCGCCTATGCTTGGTACGTGTCTTTCTGGAAGCAAAATAATGATTAATACGTGTGGCTGTCTCTCGATCATCTAGCCCTTCCTCTTCTGCTCGTTGTACTTCACGAACAATATCTGCTTCAGCATTTTGCATCAGACGCTCTAAGGTTATCTCTTCACGTACTCCACCAATGATGACTTTAGCTAATAATTGCGCATTAACCATTGGAACGTACTGTCCACCCGTAATATAGGCAATGGTCATAAAAAAATCACGATACCGCACTAATAACAAAGATAGAGAAGCCGATTTAGATACAAATCAAAAGATTTCAAAAGAACTAACCTATTGGTGGTTCAACACCGACTGCATACAACGTGATACGATGCTCTCCCATGTCGCGTGCCAGTCTTAATGGATCGTAACCAGCAGGACATCCATTCGGGAAACTATCAACAGTCGGATCGAGACCGTGCGGTGGTGCATCAGAAATCAGAATACAGATTCTGGTTGCTTCTGAGCGCCATGACAGATTGAGAACTTCGTGGAGTGCATCTGCCACTGCCTCTGGTTCGTCACCACCACCATCTGCTCGGCATTCATTTAGCCAACTTTCCATCTCGTTAACACTGTTTGTGAAATCCATGGAGTAAAATATTGAAGGAAACAGACTGCGTAACGCGTTTCCGAGGTTGTAGCATGCGTTTCGCAACGTTTTTGCAATATAGGACGCGTTTCGTAGCATTCTGACTTACATAAAATGCGTTTTGTCACAGTCGTTTTTTGAAACGATCCGAAACGCTTTTTTCAAGATTGCGTTTCGAGGCGTTTCCGAATTAACATGCTGTCGAACGCACTTTGGTCGACAGGCGACGCGTTCCACAGATACAAATTGGGGGAAACGTAAAACGCCTTTCTTTTTCAAATGTGTGTTGCATTGTTTTTGCTTGGAATGATGTAAAATATATCCATTCTGCATACAGAATCTGGCAAAAATTCAGCAACACAAAGCATAGGAGTTAAGCAAAGTAAATTCTTTAAAATTACTTTGGAAATGATATGAAATAGCACTTGAAAGTTTTGCTCCTTGGACTATTTTTGTACGTGAAAATCATGACCCAGGATTTTATGAAGGCAAGACTAAAATCAAAGTCTTGGAAATTTTTAGGCTGCTAGGCTGTTATCTAGACCTAATTCGAAGTTAGACTAATGTAAAACATCAAAGTGTAACAAAAAATATATTCTTCTTACTTAAAAACTCATTTCACCACGTTTTTATTGAAATAAAACGTGTTTCGTAAGGTTTACTTAAGAATTGTTTTCGACTTGTCCACGGAGGGAGATGATTCCGTCACGCTCGTTTGTAATGAATGAGAAGTTACAGACAAATTTGCAGTGTCTCATTTTGACAAGCACAATTTTTTGTCCAAGATTGCAAATGCATTGCATTCTAGAGATCGAGTCATTTGTATGAAATAAAACAAATAAAGCGTGACGGAATCACGTTTTACATGGACAGGTCGTTTTAAGTATTGAGCATGTCGAAGAGATTTAGTAAAGACTGATACTAATATAATTAGTATAGTAACTCTCTTTGGTTATTTGTGAACAAAAGAATTATCGCGTTATCTATAATTTGAATAAATATTAGTTTGAGTTCATACTCGAACTAATTAATAATAACTAATGGTACTATGTACAATACTAGTAAACATGATTTTAGTTTGTACATTGTTGAAGTAAGAGTGACTTTTTAATAAAAGAGATTCGATTTACAAAAGAAAAGTCCTTTCATTTATTGATGTATTGGATAAAACGATGACGGATTTACATTTACAAAAAATATATTAATCAAGAAAATAAATAAAAGATTAAATTTTAAATTTTTTAAAATTTATATATAAGAAATTTAATTTTTTATATATTAAATACAGTGTAAATCGATTAAATGCGTTTCTATTGTGTATCTAAATTTAAATCTGAAAGAGTTTAAATAAAAAATGTATCAAGAAAATATCACACTCGTAATTAGACATAGGCACCAAAGAAATGATAATTTTTAATTCAGTGGAATGGAAACTGAAAATCTAATTTAGTAAGTTTACGCGGGACTCTAAATGACAGTAGAATAAACACTTACATCATTAGATTATTTTAGTTGAACGGTTTGTATACATGTCTTATACTCCTATGTTCTCGTGTTCGAATCCGTGTCTTGACTGCATCAAAATTCATGTAAGCTATAGTTCTAAAGGCCTATGAAAAAATGTAAACGAATACATAAATTGTACCTGCAACTCAAGATCTATGAAGTCATTGGCGATTTTCAATTTTTTTTCCATCTAGAATTTACGACACCACGTTTGACAAACGCTGCGAAATTTTTCACAAAAACAATCGCTACACAGCGTTTGTTTTAGCAGATGTGAAACGCGTCAAACCGGTCAGCATTAACGCGTTTCGCAGCTATGGAAAATGCGTTTTCAGAACGCGTTTTTTTCGCAGAAATTTACACCATGGGAATTGTGTACACGAGTAACAAACGTTCTATCCTATATTAAGACATGAAATTTGATGGAATTCTTTTTACATACTATACAAACTCACCTGTGGAGGATGGTCACGATATTCGACCAATGCTAAACGAATGTCACTCTTTTCACTTCTCACAATTTCTTCAACAATTGCACGTATGTTATTCTTAGCACTTTCAATATATGAAGCCATCGATCCAGTGCAGTCCATTGCAAACGCAAGATCTATTTAAAAAGTATAGATGTTTTCGATTTTCGATGCATAAATTTTCCAAATCTTACCCAAAATTGATGCATCATGTTCAGCCAATTCTGGCTGTTCGGGTTTTTCAATTTGAATTCCAGAAGTTACTTTTGCTTGTCGTCGTCTACTCATTTTAGATTATGATGATAGAAAAAAAAAAAATAAGAAACTGAATACGCATGCCTATTGAAGTAACATTTTTTATAGGTGGTTATAGTGTGCACTCTATTATAAGCATGTTGTGCAAGCCTAAAGCATTTCATCAGTCGGCGTCATTTCTTAGTCAATAACAAAAATAAAACGTAGACTGATGAAATGCTAAGAAATAATATAGTGAAATGTCAAGAAACATATCAGTAGTTTTTTTTTTTGAGTTCTTACCTGACAACGAACAAGCCATGATTTTTAAAGGTGAAATATAACCCAAATCGAGAAGGACGTCGCTAGGATAGGTGCGCCACGTACAATTCGAATGTGTACTGATTAAATTCGTTTTATCGTTTACACCTCCATTCCATGAAGTTGTTGTATTCGAATGTGTCGTTTGTTGTTTCACATTAATCTTTAAATTAAAATGAAAAAGAAGAGACATGTGTTTAATTTTTTTTTTCGATTCATTCAAGAACTAATCAATTCAGAAGAGGTAACCTAGTTCTCTTAATTTAAAGTTTATAAATTCAACTCTGTTGAAAGTTAAATATAATCTAAGTATCAATTAAATGATATAATGTAGCGATGTTGAAGTTGCTCAGAAGTAAATAACGAATGTTGTTTATAGATTGAATCAAGTCAACCATTCTTTTATCTACATTATTGAGTCTAATCTTAGCTTCTATTTCTTTCTTGGTCATCGAATCCAATTTTCTATAAATGAT